GGTGGCGGCCGCTCGTGTCCTGTCTGAGGCGGCGCTGACGGGCGGGCTGCGGGCGCTGCGGGGCGGCGGCGGGGGCTGCCGGAGGTGGAAGCGGGGCGGCGCCTGGGCGCTGCCCGGTCGGACGTGGAGTTCGGGGGCTCCGCCGGGTGTCCCTCCTCAGGCGAAGGCGGCGGGGCCGGGGCTGACCGGAGCCGTCCTGAAGGAAGTGGCCCAGCAGCAGAAGAAGGTGAGGGCCGGCCAGGCCAGGCCAGGCCGTCGGGGGCCGCCGCGACCCTCCCGTGGCGGTTGGACGGCCGTCACGGGGGCCTCCGCAAGGGTCAGGCCTCAGGGGTCGGGGAGCCCGGGTTGGGGCCTCCGGCCTCGCCTGCTGGAAGCTCGGAGGGTTAATCATAGGTGAGGCCAGTGCAGAAGGGGCAGCCCAGACGCCCACCGGCCTTAGGGGGAGCTCAGAGCTTCAGGGAGCATCAGAGTTGAAGTCCTGAGTTGGGCATCCCTTCATTCAAAAATACAGGTAGTCCTCGGCTTACAGCCATTCGTTTAGTGACCAAAGCTACAATGGCCGTGAAAAAAAGTGATTTATATCCGGTTTTCCCACTCACGACCCTTGCCAGAGCCTCATGGTCACATGATCAAAATTCAGCCGTTTGGCAACTGATTCATAATTACGACGGTCGCAGCGTCCCCGGGGTCACAAAGAAGCTACCTTTGCCGACCTTCCGACAAGCAAAGTCAACAGGGAAGCCAGATTCACTTTACAACTCCACTGGGGTGTGTGTGTGAAAATGACATGACGGTTTTTCACGCTTACAACCGTTGCGGTTGGCTGTGTGAGAACGGCAGTCACATGAACCATAATTTGTCCGTTTGGCAACTGGTTCATATTTATGATGGTTGTAGTGATCATGTGATCACGGGATCCCTGAAAAGCAAAGTCAATGCGGAAGCCAAATTCACTTATCAACTGTCTTACTAAATAGCTGCAAGGATTCACTTAATGATGATAAGGAAGATTGTGAAATGAGGCAGAAATCACTTAACAACTGTCTCACCACCTAAAATGTTGGCCTCAATTGTGGTCATAAGTGGAGGACTACCAGTACATGGTTTATGCAGTTGTGCCTTGCCTCCATTTAGCCTTTTCTCTCTCTCTCTCTCCCCCTCCAGTCAACGGGAGAAGAAGATGGAAAAGGGTCCGATGAACAACAAGAGAAGACAAAAAAGCAGAATCCTGCCTATACAAAGAGACTGCTGCAGATAGTAGGCCTTCTTGGAGCTGGCAATGGCGTAGCAATTATCTACATCTTTGGTAAGTCAGCTTCCAGCCTATAATTTCATGGCAAGCCCAAGATAAAATCAGTACCGGTCAGTGCATTGTGTCGAAGTTCTGTTCTCTGGCCTATGATCATTACCACAATCTGAATTGTTGCAGTTGTACCCTGGGGCCAGGCCTCTGCATAATATCTTCCAGTTAACAGTGTGTGGGTTGATGGAGTTGATGTTCTGTTTCTGTTTGAAATCAAACAATACACGACAGTGCTCTGAAGGTGAAGAATTGAACAGTTTATTGCCAAGATGGTTGTTTTAAGTCTTTAAGATACTGGTTGGGTCCTGTTTGTTGGCATTAGTGATTCTTTGGTCAGTCCAGAAGGTTGATTGATGGGAAGAATTGTATGTAGTTTTATTTCTCTATCCTAAACCTAGTTCCGTTACTGCTAGGAAGCGTGATGGGATGAGATCCTCAAGATTCATGTGCACATCTCCCCAGGCTATTAAATGGCTCCCTATTTCTCATTGTTGACAAATATTTCTCATTCTTTCACTCACTCACTCACCCTCTCTCTTTTTTCATCAGGTCGTAATTCCATGGATGAAAATGGTGGGAAGGTAGGATGCTTTTATTATCTAAAGGAAGTTTGCTTGTTAGCTAGGTGGCTGCCACTAGAGGTCGTTCAGTGTTCAGAAGATGCTGGGCCGTCTAAAGTCAGATGTTGTAGCCTGTTTTATCAGAAGCACAGAGAAGATTAATTTGAGCTACAAATAAGTTTAGTGTTGGTAAAAACTGACTAGGAAAAGCAAGCGAGGAAATGTGATGAAAGCATCACAAGGATTATATATCACTGTAGAGCAGGCGTGTCTAACCTTGGCAGCTTTAAACTTGTGGACCCCAACTCCCAGAATTCCCCAGCATGGGGAATTCTGGAAGTTGAAATCCACAGATCTTAAAGTTGCCAAGGTTAGACCACTCTGCTGTAGAGGAAAACTCCTTTGCACGCAAGCTTCCAAAATAGCAGTCACCTGTTTTTCATTACTGTGGTTGGTCCTTTAGATGGCAGCAGCCCTGAAAGGCCACAACTGGGAATGGAAGTTTTTCAAGATCACCAAGAGACCTTGATTAGACTTCAGCCCATTTATTCCATGTTGACATCCAGCGTTCTAGCGCTGGCCTTGTGCAGTGAGCGTGGCAGAAATTGCTGAGCTCCAAAAATAACAGCTCAAACTCCCAACCTCAAATCTGCCCGCTCAGCAGTCCTAGCAGGACTTCACAGTTGCAAAGAGAAAGAAGGAGGTTGTGTGAGCGGTGACTCTCTTAGTGGCATGTTTGCAATGTTCCAGTTTTGTTACAATGGCACTGAAAAAAGTGACTGGCAAGCAGGAATAACTGCTGCAGCATCTCCAGGGTGGCATCATCAGAATTCAAGCACTTGGCAACCAATGGTGGCACTGTTCGTGTGTGTGTGTTGTGACAAGATCACCATTTGCAACCTTCCCAGCCAGCTTCAACAAGCAAAATCAATGGGGGAAAGCCAGGTTCACTTAACGACTGTGTTGATTCACTTAACAAACACTGTGATTTGCTTAACAATGGCAAAAAAAGATCGTAAAATCAGGCCTCACTTACCAAACAAAGTGTTGCTTCGTTCTGGAAATTCTGGTCCCATTGTTGCATTTGCATGTTGAGGACTACCTGTAATTTTTTTGCTTAATACATTATCGTAAAAAAAAAAAAAACGGCTACCGGTATTTTCTTATTTATATTTTATTTGTATCCCCCTTTTATTATTTTTAAAAATTTAACTCAAAGCAGTGAACATATCCCATACACCTTGCTTCTCCTATTTTCCTCACCACAACAACCCTGTGAGGCAGGTTCGACTGAGAGAGTGATAGGCCCAAAGTCACCCACCTGGCTTTCATGCCTAAAACAGGACTAGAACTCACCGTCTCCCGCTTTGTAGCCTGGTGTCTTAACCACCAGACCAAGCTGCTACTCTTATACTTTCCTGAACAATCTGTGATGATTTGTTCCTCGTTTTTGTAGCTTTTATATCCCCCCCCCCCCACACACACACTAGCAAATACCCATGCCTCCTTTTACAAAATATGCTCCGTTTCTCCTCATCCCGATTCCGAACAAAATATGTGCAACTTGCAAAATAGCCAGTTGTGACTTGGAAGAGGGAAAAACGCTTCCCTTTCACGGAGTACAGAATGTAATCACGCCAGCTCCCCAAATCTCTTTTGTGCCACCGAGACAATATTTGGGTGACGATTTCCTGTGACATGATAACTCAGCCCTCAGCCTAGGACAGGTCATGAGGAAAGGTCTGAAGCCAAGTTCCCACAGATGTTTTTTGGTCCTGATTACAGCAGGCACATGTTGCCAGGGATGTGTGAAAGGGGGCTGATGGGTGCTTGATGTACCTGTTGTCATGGGGCCGGGGGGGGGGCGCTAAGAGGGAAGGGCCTGTTCGTCAGGGGAGCGCTACACATTTGCTAATGAGGCTGTATTTGCTTGAGAAAGTTTCTTTCAGGCTTCCAACATTTTGTCCAGATGTGGGGTTGTTCTTTCATGGGTGAATTTCAGGGAAACAATGTCCTTAGCCTTTTGTTCAGCACTATAGATAGAAAGAGGGATGTGCTTAAAGTTGATACTATGCTTGTCCATTCTGCATTATTCAACAATTTTTTTAATCTTAACAAAATATTAGGTCAGTAGTGACTGCAGCTCGGTCTATGGTCTGATCCTGGCATCAATACAGAAGGGAGAGGTTTTTTTGTATTCATTATCCTTTCCGTCTTTCACCTGATCCAGTCTAGTTTCTTATCGACATTGTTGAAATGCACACACACACACACACAAAATAAAATACCACAATAGAATTCAGCCTGTGTGCATAAATGCCCTCCCCACCCCCTGAGCAACAATTAATGTACAAAATGTTGCAGCCTAAATCTTTAAGCATCGTTTTTTTATAAAAGGTATTTATTGTTGAGCAGGGAAATGCAGGCAGCTTCTGCAGTTGTACAGCGCTTCTACGTTTTAAATTTGTGATCTGCCTTCTCTATTTATTTCCCCAAGTTGGTGCTTTCTAAACTTGTCTGGGGTGTCAGCATCTGGATTCTGCAACCGGCACACTTATCTTACAGGGGTCATTTTTTAATTGTTGATTCCTGAAGAGATGCTCCTCCGGTGCCCTTCGTATGAATTGCAAGCCACGCGGATGAGGGGAGATTCTTTTGATCTGTAGCACAAGTCCCAAGTGCCCTTGAGGAAACAAAGTGTGAATAGTGGCCTTACACATCCCTGAGGCATTTTGAACGGCAGACTTAAAATACACCCACCCACTATCCCTAACACCTCTTTTAAGGCCCCGATTTCCTGATTGCCTTTCTCTATACTGGCAGCTTTGAAGTTAGAAGCTGCCGTTCTTCACCTTGTTGTAAACAACCTGAATTATCCTCGGAGGTGAGGACATCATACTGCACTATCCCAGAGGAAGAGAGGACTTCTTAAATCACCCTGGGTGAATGACCCTTCTCCCCCAGCCCCCCCATCAGTCACCCAAACCTGAACACGTTCCTTTCATGCTGCCTCGGGCCTTGGTTTCCTCTCACCGTTATGGGCTTTGGGTCAGCTTATGGCCGGCACATGCCATCTGCTGTGGGTTGTTTGCGCTAACAAGCACAATTCCAGCACAATTGGCAACTGTCTGAGAAGTCTCCGTGGGGAGGAAGCAGGTTGGAGCACGGAGCCCCTGGCTTGGCTCTTTCCCCTTGAATGCAGGCAAAGGGACGTCTATTCGAGTTACTTATTTGGATCCCGGCTTTATTGTTTTGACAAAAAATATCCCCCCTTGTGAGTGTTGTTTGAAGTGGGCTGGGCTGAGAGTGAGAGACTGGGTGGACTCATCCAGCTTTCCTGGCTAAGGCAGGACTCAAACTCACCATCACCTGGTGACTGGCACAAAGTCATGCATAAGGCAGGACTAGAACTTCCCACCTCCTGGTGATTGGCCCAAAATCACCCGGCCAGCTTTCTTGGCTAAGGCACAGGACTTGATCTTAACTTTCTCCCACCTTCTAGCCTGATGTCTTAACTACCCTCTTGTTGTGGTGACCCACCCCATTCCCAGTGCATAGTTACAAATGTTTGGCTTTTAAGTGGACTTTCTCTCCCCCCCTCCCCTTTCAAAATCAAATTTTAAGAAGGGAGAACTGTGTCGTAACAATTCCTCGTGAAACCTCTTATTTTTCAGCTCCTTATGTCCCCATTATGTTTTGGATAATTAGTAGATGTTTGATAGTCCAGCTCATTTCCCCTAGAATTCTCTTGTTAATATGAGAGGTAATTACAGCGTTAGCTAGATCAGGGGTAGTCAACCTTTTTATACCTACCGCCCACTTTTGTATCTCTGTTAGTAGCAAAATTTTCTAGCCGCCCACCAGTTCCACAGTAATGGTGATTTATAAAGTAGGGAAGTCAATCAAATTAAAAGGAGAGGAGAGAGAGAGAGGAGAGCCTTCTCGGTGGCAGCTCCGACCCTATGGAACGATCTCCCCGTGGAGATTCGTACCCTCACCACCCTCCAGACCTTCCGCACAGCCCTCAGAACCTGGCTATCCCGTCAGGCCTGGGGCTAAGACTGTAACCCGCCCGAATGGTATGAATGTTGTGTTTTTTAATTATGTATTGTCTTATATGTTAAAGTTTGTCACCCCCCCCTTTTGGGTTGTGAGCCGCCCTGAGTCCCCCCAGGGAAAAGGGCGGCATATAAATAAACTTCTACAATCTACAATCTACAATCTAAAAAAATGCTCATCTAATTCAAGCCACATGCATCTAATATTATTTATTATGTCCTAACCCCTTCAATCTTTTTAATCTGGTAATTTCATTTAAAATTGAGCTATGACTAAGAGTTGTTGCTATTACTTCATTGAGGTTCTAATCCACACCCAACTTCCTTGGCCAGTATGATCTGGGTTAGGAAAAATGACATACAGTAGGTATTACAATTCCTAGATTTATATGGTCAGTAAAGGCCACAGGAGTGGCAGGAG